TCATTTTTCACATTAAACGCAGAAAATCCATGCGGAGGTCACCGGATTCCGGCTTCTGTACGCAGCAGGAACTAATTTCTGCAGCCCTCGGTATCGATAAAGCATTCAGAGGAGCACAGTATGCAGGCTATGTACTGCTGCTCGCTAGTCTCTATTTTCCAGCAGCCAGTCTATTGGGACTTGTTCAGCCGCTATCTGCTGGGGCTTTTGGAAATGTCAACTACACACTTGCACCCACACACACACACACACACACACACACACACACACATGCATATTGTGTCAGCGTGCCCCTATCTGTGCTGCCGATACAAGCCGTGATAAGAGATAGCTCTGCCAGGACGAGTCATAAACTGGCTTTTATGGCGCGCTTATTGTCTTTCCATCTACAATTATGGTGATTACTCATCTCCCCCCCCTCCTCCCCTCCCTCCCCCGCGGCCCCCACGCTGCTCCTAATAGACTGCATTTTACTAATGGAAAATTAAGTAGCCGCCGTGGCAGTGGGGTTTATAAATATGTAAAATATACTTTTAATTATTTCAAGTGAATCTGGCAGCTAATCAATAAACGGGGACGTGACAAACATACGTTTGACACGGGCCATTGTGGAGCTTCGGGGTAACGGATAAGCCGAGCCTGTCAGCGCAGAGGGGCCGCGGTGAAGATTTTTGAGGCTGTCCTGTATCAGACAAATGGATTAATTGTGCCCTGCTAATATAATGGCCTCTTCATAAGGAGTGCAGCAGCGAGGGAGAGGAAGGGAGAGCAGCCGGTGTCAGATAAATATTTATCAGGGTGCAGGGTTAAGTAGGTTTTTTGCGATTACACGGATAGCCACTTAAGCCGAGCTGTTTATCATTCATGTGAGAATTGATTCATGAACGATTTGTTGGATGTCGGATTCTTTTTGTTTTTTGGAGAGAAGCTTGTAGAGATAGAGAGAGACGGATATGGAAAAATAAAGGGTTTCATCGTTAAGTTCACATGCTGTTCTGATTATTTTCAGTTTTATTTACCCACAGTGAGAGTCTGTTCAGATGTTACTGTGAGGTGACTGAAACGTCATCTTCTCATCATTCTTCTTCTTCTTGTTATCGTTCTTCATTTCTCTTTCTCCTCATGACTTCTCCTCCTTCCATGTGTTGATGTTGTTGTTCTTCTTCTTTTTGTGGTTTTTAACTTCCTCTTGTTATAAATTCTGTTTTAGCTCTTTTAATGTCAGGTTTTCATGCTCTTGTTTTTTTTTTGTTGTCTTCCTCATCTTCACGCTCTGCCTGTTGTTTGTCTTCTCCTCACTCAGTGGATTTAGAACATGTATTACAGTTAACTAATTGATTAACCTGTTTTGGAAAAAGTCAGAGTGGTGACAAAAGTGATGTCATCTCACCTCTAAACTCAGTTCACAGATAAACTGTTAAAAAGTCAGTCCATGTTCATGATTTGGCCATAAACGGAAACATTTGATGAATGTTGTTTATTTGTGCGGACAGAAGATGCTACAGACTTCAGATTGAGGTCTGATCTCAGATTTTCTTTTAGCTGCTGTCGTCATTTTATAGATGATTTTTTTCACATTCACTGATTCAGCTTTTTATTTGAGATATGTCAAAAAGAAGTAAAACAGCATAGTGGTTAGGAGGCTGTAGTCCTCCAAGATCCGACCCCTGGTTCCTTTGCGGCATATCCCCCCCCCCACCTCTCTCTATCTCTCTCTGTCCCTGATTTCTGACTCTATCCACTGTCACTAAAATACATCTAAATAAAATAAGTAGAATAGTCAATAACAGTTTCTCCATTAAATCTCTGCGTTCCCTGTTTTTGTGTCCGTGTATTTCAGCAGCTTGAATCCGTGAAACTTTACATGTTGACCTGAAAACTCATAAATCAAAACCCTGTACTTTATATCATAAACTTGAATCATTCATTAAATATCCAGCCTCTTTATTGGCTGTCAAACACATTGATTAGTTGACTAATTGTTTCAGCAGTCGGTCTTTGACTTCCCTCAGCGTTTACAGTCCAGAGATTTAATTTCTAATAGAGTGAATCTATCATTTTTCTCCATGATTCCCCCACACCTCGTATATCAAAACAGTCGTTTTGACTTGAGTAGCCGCTGAAATATTTCCACAAACAGCAGCAGTTAGCATAGTGGCAGCGTTTTGACAAATAGCTGCGTTTTCCCCTCCCTCGCTCCGCTCTCATATCCATCTCTGTCTCTCAGTCTGTCGTCGGCGCTTTAAGGTGAAAGAGAACATAAAGACGAGCGAGCACTGGGCTGTGAGGGGGGCCTTCCTGGAAAGCTGTCCTCTCGCTATGAGAAGCTGTGACCTTGAGTCCTGCTTCACCCACATTGCCCCCCCCCTACACACACACCCTCTTTCTCTCTGCTGGAGGGGGGGGAGGGCTGCAGAGCGGGTCCGGGTCACCAGCCGCCATTCTCATCAATTAAATGTGCGACAGTGTTTTTTTTTTTCTTTCTGTCGGCTGAACTTATATGTCAAGGAGATGGGCAGGACCTCATGTTTGTGCTTTTGACAAATCAGCAAATGTTTAATCTCAAGATGTGCCGGCGCTCATAAATAATGCAGAGAGCGGGCCGAGCCGGGCCAAAACTGTCCCCCAGTGTGCCAGAGAGAGACTCGTCTGCAGGAGAGAAAAAAAAACCTTCCAGACTAAATCCTCCTGCGTGCACGGAGGCTTTTCTTCTGCAGATGTCTCCTCCTCCTTCTGATCACACCTCCCCAAAAACCTCACTGCATCACTCCGTCTCTCGCTGCACCTGAGACTTTCCTGCTTCCATCTCATCGTCACAGTTTCACAGATTTCTTTCTTTCTCTTTCTTTCTGTGTCTCGTCTCACTCATGGTGAAGTAGCTGAAGTACACACAGACTTTCCTCAAGCAGAGGTTCAGATACTTGTGTGAAAGTCGACTTCAGTGACAGCAGAAGAACTCCGGTTTCTTGTTTCCTGCAGAGAAAGTGTTGCAGATGCAGCTCGCAGCATCGAGGTTAAACGTGTCCGTCTGAAGGACATGACATGCTGTTTGTGTGTAAAGCTAACCCAAGTCCTCCTCGTATTTTGGAGACTATTAAACTGGAATAACCCTTACTTCAAATCAGAAAACAGAGTGAAGCTAATGAAGAGTCACTTTGCTCCATGAATTTGTGATTTGTGAATCAGGGTTGAATGTCTCTCTGTTCTGAATCTGCTGCTTGTCCTGCGTCGGCCATGTTGGCTGCTTCACTTTAAGACTAGACGTCTCTTGTCCACGCTTCGGTTTCCCTCAATACCCAGTTTTCTCCAGGTTACGTCTGTCCTGTGTCAAATGACCCAACTGAGACACAAAGGAATCGGCTTTTCTTTGAGTTAGTGTTCATGCACTTAAGTTAAAAATCAGTCTTAATGCAGAACAAGTAGATCACAAATGAAAAGAAATACGACAGATTTTTAAAAAATCCTTTAAAGCAGGAGTACCTTAACCTGTTTTCAACATGTAAAGATGATAAAAGCACTGATATTAATGTTCAAATATGGATATCAAATTAAAAGGGTGACGTACAAATACTTGAAAACTTTCCTTCTGCTCAGTAATGAAGGGTTTGCGCTCTCCTTCTGCAGGTATGTTTTACTAAAAGTTGCTCTCCTCCCTCCTCCTCTCTCTTTGAGGGCAGACAGAGACAGAATTATCCCGAGCTAAGAGTCCGCTGCCATCTCAAAGACAGAGCGGATTGAGGCCGAGCTTTGCCTGCGTTTGCTCTAAAATGTAAAGAGGGCGACAGAAAGCAGTGTAGCGGACTGTGAACCGCATCAAATCCCTCTCCGCACCGCTCTCACTCCTTCTTCTTCCCACACACTTTGATTGGCTCGTCCCCCGACTGGGAAAGTTTCCTGATTGTTCACAGGGAAAATTAAGATTTTAAGCCTATTGAAGTCGATCTTCGCTCGTTCAAAAGTCCATCTGAATGTGTGCTTTTGAAAGCTCTGATTGTTGACCCGCCACATTAGAGGAGTGTGAGCTGCTGGGCTGTACTGTACTGAGAGCAGCGTGCACCTGTTGTTGTGTAGATGATTTGTGTAGTGTGTTAAAGAGCTCAGTTTATTAGTGAAGCCCTCTGCTGTGGGGTCAACGCTCTGCATGCTCGACAGGCTGGAAAGGTTGGAGACATGATGAGAGAAATAATAAGAGATTCATCTTTCTTCCTTCTGATTCTGACACTTTTGCTTGTATCCACCAATATATTTCAAATGTTAGATATTAATCCTGAGGGGAAGTGCAGGTTCACACTCTGTTAGTGAGAGACATGCTGCTCACTCGTGCACAAACAGGACCTGCTGTATGGACATGCATTAATGGAGAGGTTTCTGAGGGGGGGGGGGGGCCATGAGCTGTCGGGGGCTCGGTGCCTTGCTCAAGGGAAGTAAACTACTCTAGCAACCACAACATGCACGTTCCATGCAGTGGTCCATATACCGGGACTTGAACCGGAGAGCCTTGGGATTCCAAACTAAGTCCCTATACAGACGTTTTTTTACAGTGATTGTCTTCGAGTTAAATTAAAATGATTACAGCCTTTAAATGTGACTTTAAAACGCTGCTTGCTGAAATGTAACGAGCTAAACCTAAAGCTACAATCTCTGCTGGCCCTCCTCTTTTTTATCAGCTGTTACAAGTTGCAGACAAAACATAACTTTTTGGAGGAGAAGAAACAAGTAGATTTATTTGGGAGTCTTGTAACTTATGTCTTGGATCTGTGCATTGAGCAGCTTATTTGTTACTGTTAAAGTTTAAGGGCATTTCCAACACTGGTTTCAGCTTTTGGAACAATTCCATCAATTGAAGCTCCTGCACTTCATACATTTTGGCAAAAATGATGGAAAATGTTGCTGTTTTTTTTTCCTGAATTGAACTTCCAGCAGGATGAGGACTGGATCCAGGTTCAGTAAAGACTTAGTAAAAAAAAATATCTAACAAATCCTGTTTTTTTCTCTTTCAGGCCCTCGGAAGTTTCTACTTTATCCATGAGTCTTTGAAAAACATCCACCAGTTTGATTTCAAAGGTAAGTGTCCCCCCCTCAAACACTCACACACACACACACACACACTCACATTATGACCAGAGTGTCAGAATAAAAGCCTCTCGTCGTGCCCCCTCATCCCACCCCTGCATATCACACACAACCATCTCCAGGCTATTCCGGCTTCCATCAAACGCAGCGCTGCGAGATTGGCTCTGAGGATAATGTAAAGGCAGGCCCACAGAATGGTAATGCTTATTAATATTAGGATTTAATTCATAAGATTTCGGGCCTGCAGTAATGGTGTGCGGCGGGTTATTGGACAGTTACGGCGGTCTCATCAGCCTGCGGTGTCAGAGGGCCCCGGGGTCCGCCGGCCGCGCTAATTAAAGGAGGGATATAGATGTGGAGACGCCTTGAGTCCTATTAGACCAGAGTCAGCATTAGCACCAGTCACCCCAGTGAAGGACAGGGCGCAGGCAGGGGAGGGGTCACGAGGTCAACGTGGACACACGTGTTTAAAGATTTGATTTAAAGTCAGAAATATAAAAACTACAGTTCATACCAGAGCTGAGCCCATGTTTGGACTCTTCTTTCTCTTTTTTAAGGTTTATTTTTTGGGCTTTTTATGCATTTAGAAACTAGGGAGAGAGAGAGAGCTGAGCCACGGGTTGGATCTGAACCCGGGCCACCAGCCTGGAGGAACACAGGCTCCGTACATGGGGCGAGCGCACTAACCACTAGGCTATCGGTGTCCCCGTTTTGACTCTTTTTAGGATGAACAGAATCTGGACGCTTTAGCTTGAACTTTTCCAAACTACTGCTATCTGTGCAAGTCACATCCCCGAGAATGAAGGTTTATTTATAACCTGTAGAACTATCTGATCTGGTCATCAGACGTCGGATGTAAAGTTAGCTGCAGCTCAGCTGGCAGCCCATGACGCCTCGCCACAGAGACACAGACATCTGACATGTTTTAACACAGTTTTATCAGCAGTAATCACAGTTTGTTTAAGCCTAACCACACTGTGTGACACAGATATCAATGTTTGGTATGACATGCATGCACGCTTCACCCAGAGCTGCAGAGTGAATCATGGGCTGTGAGGCGATTCAACACGCAGCGTCACCAGAGTTGAGTCGCTGTTTCCTTCCATGTTTCGTCTTTCTTGGTGCGGTCATGATAACTGCTGGAAGACATTTCATACAAACAAGGCTTTACTCTGTGTTACAATCCCACAACTTTCTTTTACCTGAATCCAGTTAGTGCGAGGTTAGCTCCTTTCGACAGCTCTGGTGTTTCTCTGGTGTCTCTGTGGTTACGCTGGGTAGTGTGTCAGATCATGCTGCATTTCTATTGGTTGATATGATCGTCCTAAATGTCTGAGACTGTCAGATATTCATTGCAGGCTATCGAACGGTCATCTTTGATCCTCTCTCACAGTGTGACGCAGGTCAAAGATTTCTGAGCCATGGTCACAGATATTGCGCTGATTGATCATCTTTCACCTGGGACGGCCCAAAAAATCTGTAAACGTCATTAGAGAAGAGAAAGACCTCCAAAAAACTGAGCTAATGTCATCCACTGCAGCTCAGCTTGCAGCCCCTCCTGATCCAGACAAACAGCACACTTTGAACAGTGTAGTTTATCAACATGTGCTCTGTGATAATCAGTTACTGTTGGCTTATTAAAGAGAGTTGATGATCAGTCTGGGTGGTCACATATTAATGTGTGACCACTCTTGTGACCACTCTTGTGAGTTTTTCCACACGAGATGTGAAAATCTGTTTAATCCCCTGGTTGCTATTCTGGTTTGTAAATGGAGATATGCAGAATCCCTTTCACCTCAGGGAAACAGACTGACATGCAGTAGACATGGAAACTCCAGATAATGTTAGCCCATTTAAAAAGAGCCGTACTGTTTGTAAAAAGACAAAGTGTTCCTCCTGCTTGTTCCAGTTACTTTATGTTAAGTTTTAATGAAAATTGAGGCATGGTAGTACTTTATATTTGGATATAGTGAGGGTCAGGGGTCAGTATTAAAAGCTTGATTCATCTCCCTGCATGAATAGAGACAGAGACGAATATATTTCACTCTCCTGTCAGGCTGCAGTTCCTCACTCTGACCGGCAGGTGGTGCAGTTGTCTGATTGTATTAGGAGATTGAAGCACACACAGTCTCATGTTTGTAAAAAAAATAAACTGTATTTCTTCTGTCTGTCCGTCATCTCTTCATCTTTTCCTCAGCCAAGAAATTCAAGAAGGTGGTGGGCAAGGAGACCTACTCGGAGACACTAGAAAGCACCCCCACGCTGGAGAAGGAGAAGTTTCCACAGGACTACTTTCCTGAGGTGAGTCACAGTGATTATGAACACACCTGGCTGAGAGATGGAGGTGATTCTTTTTTTTTAAAGGTGTCACAGACAGATTCACAGGAGAAAGAGAGAGAGAGAGATCAAAGTACATCTTCTCCTTTTTTGCCTTTTCTTCTCACAACACATTTCATCGACTGAAGTTTAAAAATGTTTATATCAAGATTTATTTTCTACTAATAAGAGTGCAAAATTATTTAAAACAAATAGTGAATAAATACTTAAAAAGACCTAAAATACAAATACAACTATGATGCTTTATTCATCAGTTAGTACTGATGAGCAAGACAACATTACAGCCAAGTTGCATTTCACTCCCTGAGGTATACCTATAAATATCAGATAGATTTTTATTTGACGTGCACATCGCCTTCAGTATTAGAGCCTCTGATTAAGTCAAAGAAATTGTCATCACAGACGAGCTATAGTGCAGGGTCCGACTTTACAGTCCGTCAACAAGCGTACATTCCCAGACATTCACTGAGATTTTTTCATGTCCTGCTTAAAATTTAAAACAAATAACAAGAGAGAAGAAGCAGATTAAAGAAAGTGTTGTTGTTTTTTTAATGATGATGCAAGCTGCTGAAAATCGACATTACTCTCATATGAAAATAAACAGCCTGGTATGCAGCAGGTGTGGCTGACTTTTTGCACTTTGCTTATTTCAGACACAGTTAGACGACAGTCTGTTGACTGTAATGCACCAAAAACACTGTTCACAAAGCCACACACTGCAGGTCATAAGAGTGGAGGAACAGGATGCAATGTTTGAGAGTTTTCACACTCATGATCATTCTCAACATTTGTCCTCTAAATGATCAATAATTTAGGATGAAGAACACAAGTTAAACATTACAAACAGTGCAAAAAAAAAAACATCAATAAAACCACAAAGTGTAATGTGATATGTGAAAAATCATGAATAACAATATTATGTTTTAATAGTTAAAGTGGGAATATCTGGGGATCTTCTGTTTATTTGACTCATCCATGATGGCAAAGTTCAACCAACATTCATGCAAAAAAAAAATGTTTCCTTTATTAGTTTGTCTTCAGAGTTTTATTTTCTTTGAATCTTCTTCTCTTGATTATTGTCCAGGTTTCTGTCCTGCTGCAGAAATATGTCTCATTGGTAGAAAAAATCCTGAACTGCCACCGTGTTACCAATTTATACAAAAGAGAGAAGTGACTTTACTGGTTTCCAGAACAATTTTATTTTCTGTTTCTTCTTATTTGTCAAGTTCAACTCTCTAATGTATTTTTCCGCTGCAGGAGCGCACCGCATTTAAAGACAATTAAGTCCGCAGCAATCTAATCTAAGCCCTTTATTTCCCAGAAGCTAATTCATGATTTCTACCAAAAAACATTCTATTCCTAAATTTGTCCAGAATCATTGAATTTCTTGTGTTTTTTTCCTTGTATGCCAACTTCTCCTCTCCGGTGTATTTGTCCTGCTGCTTGATTGCACCACATTTAAAGACAAATCAGTCTGAAGAATCTAAATCATGAATCAGAGAAAGTCCTCGTCGTCGTGTCCCATGGTGCATTTCTCTGCTCCCTGCGCTGTGTCTCAGTTTCCTGGTTCTCCTGGTGTGTGTGTGGGTGGGTGTGTGTGTTGTGTGTGTGTGTGGGGGGGCTGAGCTCCGAGCATGTCTGTGCTGATATAGTAATAAAGAGCACGGCCGCCCGTGTGTCATCCCCGCACTCCCCACTCATCTGTCAACCATGCTCCGCCGGCCGCCGCTGCAAATATATGCAAAACAGACGGATACGGCCCCTTCACACACTTCCCCCCAATTTCCGTCTCTTTCACACACACTGCAGGACCCCCACCCTCACAAACATCTCTACACACACACACACACCTCTCATGGTTCCCCTCTTTCTCATTCCACAGATGATCTAAAACCAATTACACTGATTGAAGCCGTTTAAAATGATTACAGCCAAAGCATTGTTCTGCATTTAACGGGACGAGAAGAGAAAAACAGCAAACAAACCAGCGAGCGAGCGAGTGAGGGACGAGGGGAGAGAGAGGAGGTGTGTGTGTGTGTGTGTGATGAGAAAAGTTTTGGGCGGTGATTTATGCCTCTTTCCCGGCTGCGATATGAATCTGGGATGATGCTCCAGAGAGCAGCACTCCAGATAATGTTAGCCCATTTAAAAAGAGCAGATTTGTGTAGTCTATCAGGGTCGCCGAGTATTTTTTCTCCCGCTCCTCCTCCTCCTCCTCCTCCTCGCCGCCTCCTCCTGCGTAGTGAGAAATTGGTTGTTATCATAGATCACAGATACTGCTCAAACCTCTTATGAAAGATGAATTAATTTCACTAATGCTTTAATGCAAAGCTCTCATGAGGGAGGCAGACTGGTGATAACCCCTGCCTCGTCCCCGCTTCCTCCGCCGCTGATTTATGCCCTCTTTTAGTAGATGAAACCGCCTAGATTTGCCATCCATCTGCTGCTTTGAGGAATCCTATTACACGCAGATCCTGGACCGGACAGACCGCCGCGCACGAGTCCCGAACCAGTCGCTCGAGTCCATCGTCTGCAGGTCATGCAGACGAGTAATTGTTTTAAGAAATGAGGAAGCAGGATGATTTAAAGTGGATAAAAAAGAGAGAGGCAGAGGGCGGGTTTCTTGTTTACATCCTCATAGCTAATCAGAGCGGAGGAATAATGTGTGTGATCGTCCGAGGACAGCGAGAGAGAGAGAGTGACAGCAGACAGCACAGGTGCATGATGGGAGACAGATGTGCGTGTTTCTCAGCTCGTGTCTTACCTTTACAGTCGACCATTAATAAAGTGTCACTGAGCGGGCAGCTGATGACATCATGGTGTGTGTGTGTGTGTGTGTGTTGGTTTGTGTGTCTAAAAGAGACAGAAAAAGTCACATTTCTCTGCACTCCAGAGGTTCACACACCTGAAGGTCCAGTGGATTATTTAGATTTCAGATTCATCTGTTGATTCGTCTGCTTCTCTGAAATCATCTGTCAACAGTTTGATCCATAAACAAATGAAAGAATTAGGAAAATATCAAAGATGTTGTGTACCAATGTCATCCCAAAGTTTGTCATGTTTACTGGCCTGAAGAAGGTTCAAAGATATCTTTTTTGTCCCCACGGGGAAATATGTTTGTATTTATATTTTGCATATTTCTGGCTTCAAACATTACTTCTACATTAAAGCCCCATAAAGATCGCCCAGCATCCGGTGAAAGTGCCGTGTCTAATGAGCAGCTGAGAATTTAAATGAACTGTTATTTAACAAACAAACAGCAGCAGGTACAGAGGAGACCGGATGCCTTTCAGTCTACAGGAACTCTGTAGCGTCAGCCTGAGGGTGGAGGATAAAACTCTGTATACAGACGGTGATCTGGGCACTGCAGGAGAGAAGTCGCCTTTCTGACCACCTGCCTGCTGTAGAGGTCGATAAGCTCCTCCCACTCGCTCGCCACTTCAACGAGGCTACCACGTCTGCTTTTGTTGACTAGAGTCAGATTACAATACCGGGTAATAAAACAGAACATTAGAAACATTCAAAGAACTGATTTTTCTTTAAAAGTAAAACCCTTGTTGGACCTTTTTTGTTGTGGTGGTGACATCATCATCATCATCAACTTGCTCAAAAGACGGTTTGTTGTCCAACATGAAGGAAGAAAACGAGTTCTTGTTGCAAAGTTATTCATGGTTGTTGACTAGTTTCAGTTCCAGTTGAGCTCATTTTACCAGAGTTTCAGATTTCTTCTTTGGACAAGATGTTCAGGCTGTACAGTGGTTCAGTGGTACAGTGGTTAGTGCTGTACCTCACAGCGAGGAGGTTCCTGGTTAAAATCCCCGTCCACCTCTCTGTGTGGAGTCTGCTTGTTCTCCCTGTGCATGTGTGGGTTCTCTCGGGGTATTCCAGCTTTCTCCCACAGTCCAAAGACATGCTCGTTAGGTTAACTGCTGACTCTAAATTGCTTGGCGACCAGTACAGTGTGTAACCCCGCCTCTCGACCAATGACAGCTGGGATCAGCTGCAGCCCCCTTTGACCCCCCTTGGATGGACAAGATGTTCACCATGACTTAACCAGAAACAAAACTTTCAAACTCAACTGAAATAAAGCTTCTTCAATCAGTCAGTTCATTGATTAGATGTCTAAGATAACATTTATGAACGACTATTTTAATCATCAAATCATCACCTGGAGGGGTTTTATATGAGAAGAACGCTCCTTATTCTCTGAGCTCCACATTAATGTGAGCACAGTCTGCTCTCTCTCTCTCTCTCTCCTCTCTGATGGTTAAACGTCTTTGAGTCGTGGAAAGCACGAGACATGAGAGGAAGTCCTCTTGGGATTTTTAAACTTTTTACTAATAAACTGTCGGTGAAGTTCTTGTTCTAAAGTTCCTCTTTTGCCTCCAGCTTATAATGTAATCAAAGTGTCTTTAAACTGGGTCATAAAGTGATATTATTACACCTGTGTTTGCTGCTACACGGACCACATGACTTTAGAGTCTAAAATTAAATAAACCTGTGAGGCCCCGTCTGGTTTAGCTGCTCTCCCTCATGCTCAAAGTAGTACTGTAGTCTAGACCACAGTAACCGAGACCGAGACAAGACCAAGACATTTAGGCTCGAGATTGAGTCAAGACCAAACCCAGGCAGGCGAGAACCGGACAATATCTAGAACTTTAGGGATCAAGACCAAGACGTTTAGGGGCAGAGTCAAGACCAAGACCAGGCCAGGGCGAGAACCAGACAAGACCAAGACGTCTAGGGATCGATACCGAGACGAGACCAAAACATGTAGAGATCCTGACAAAGTCAAGACCAGGACCAAGGCAGGGCGATACCGAGACAAGACCAAGAACTTTAGGGATCAAGACCGAGTCGGGACAGAGACAAGACCAAGCCTATGAATATCACTGAAAAGAGAGCTAGAGAGAGAGTGGGAAATGACATGTGGAAAAGGAGCCACAGGCTGGACTTGAACGTGG